GGAGCAGGGGATGAAGAGGATTCTGGGAAGCCTATGGGAGCAGGGGAATAGGACAGATGTGGCAGACCTGTGGGAGCCGGAGGGGGGAGATACGTGAAAACTTCATTCCACACATGCAGATAGCTCCTGCACACACATAAAAGCTCGAAGATCAAAAATATGGGACAAATAGCATCTGAGCAAGACATGCCAGAACACACTTCAAATATAGGACAGTCCCATAAAAGCCAGGAAGGTTGGTCACCTTGGGCTAAATAAACATACACATCACAGGACTTCTCATGTCCCCTCTCCTTTTGTCACTTTTCCAAAACGTCATACTAGAAATGGTGGGGATTTCAATATCTATCCGCAACAACATACAGAAATGTGAGCCTTCACTGCTACAGGAATATTACCTCTTTCCTCTTATATTCCCCGATTTGCAGAGTGCTGTTCATTTCTCACTAGATTCTGTCTGTGTTGTATAAAATTGCTCAGGATCACTTAAGAAATGAAGAAAGTGCCATAAAGCTTTTCATCATTCACAGACAGCGAAACCAAATGCATGGAGAGCAATTTGAAGTTCCTTTCAGAAAGTGCTAGAAGTGTGACCCTGAAAAATCACACTTAGTCACACAGATTTGAAACAGGCCCTTCGGCCAACTACGTCTAAGGCAAACGACAAACACTAAAACTACAGTCATCCCATTTACTTGCACTTAGTCCATAACCTACTGTGCCCTGGTATAGATCAACATTGTTAGCTGTACTGGAAAATCTATTGTACTGCATATCAGAAAGGAAGCAATTTAACATTCCTTGAGGACAGGGAGACAGTTATGCAAAGCCTAAAGTAGTCCATGAAAAGATTAACATACTTAGCATCATACAATCCATTGTGCCTGTCCTCATTATTTGAAAGAGCAGTCCAATTTAATCCCACCACATCCCACACATTTTCCTTCATAACCTGCAAGCTAATCCTTTTAATAAACGCCTGACTGCCTTTTGAAATTTCCTACAGGATTTGCTTTCAGCATATCTCCACTCATTCTCACTTATGCTTCTGCTAATTGTTCTTTCCGTGCAAGCAGAAAGGATTGCAGAAGCTGGAATCTTCTGTCCTCCCCTTGTAGCAGTTTGGTGGTGGGGAGGCGTCAAATTGGGTGCAGACCCCTGCCTGCATATTCCTGCCTCCATCCTAACTAAGTTCACGCAAGAAAGCCCATTGATAGCCTTCACAACCCAGCCTTAAGGTGGGCGATCAATGTTCCAGGAGACCTACTGTGCTTGATTTGGGCGGCAGGGCCACTACGCTTGGGAGCTGAGAGTCAACTACATTGCTGTGGACCTGGAGTCACTTGTAAGCTAGAACAGGCAAGGACAGCAGATATTCTATCCTGAAGGAGATTGGTGAACCAGATGGGTTTTGTAATGGTGGGAGAGAGATAGTAGGAACTGCAGATGCTGGAGAATCTGAGATAACAAGGTGTAGAGCTGAATGAACACAGCAGGCCAAGCAGCATCAGAGGAGCAGGAAGGCTGACGTTTCGGGCCTAGACCCTTCTTCAGAAAAATTTTGTAATAAATGTGGTGGCACCACCAAAACAACCTTTCAATTTGAATTTGAATTCCACTAGTTGCCATGATGAGCCCATAGCCTTAGCCTGAGTCCAGTGACATTACCACCAGGCCACAGTGGTGCCAACTTTCTATTCTATGATTTTTAACATCTCTTTTAGAAGCTGAATTTAAACTATCACAGTAGGATTGGAGTGCACATTCTCAGGATCTAGTCCAAGCTTCTTGATTATTAGTCTAGTGACAGAAAATAGGCTTATTCAGGCCAGTTGCTTACCCCATCTGTTAGGAGTGGCTTGATCTCAGTCAGTTGAACATCTTGGAGTTCCTCCATTCCTTCTAGGATCCTGCACAAGTACAAAAGGAGCACAAATTAAGGAGAGTGTCTGGATACAGAGGATTAACCATAACCAGTAAGAATTTCACAATGACCAAAACACACACTATCACGAAGCAATCTATTTAATTCTGGTTAGCTCACACCTCTCCTGAAAAGCTTCCTGTGATATTTTATTTAAATGACTAAATTTGAAAGGCTGGGTCAAACATTTTAGTGTTGATTCAACAGAAATCAACTCGGTGAAATAATTTTGAAGGAAAATTTGCACTGGTCAACGATGACTCTCAGGATGTGTTAGAATTGAAATAATTGTCTCACTTGACTCCTGTGTATGGTTCTGGGCACCACAATATAGAATAGACGTGAAGGTATTGGAGACAGCACAAAAGAGACTTATAAGAATGATTCCAGGGACAAGAAATTTCAGTTATGAGGATAGAGTGAAGAGGTTGGGACTGTTCTCCACAGAAAGAAGGCGGCTAAGAGGAGATATGATAGAGGAGAGACCAGGCTGGATGGAGTAAATGGGGAGAAGCTGTTCCCACTCAGAGAAGGATCCATAAATGGGGAGAAGCTGTTCCCACTCAGAGAAGGATCCATAACAGGAGGGGACAGATTTGAAGATATTTACAAACTTTTTCACACAGCCAGTAGTCAGTGTCTGAAATGCACTGCCTGGAAGTGTAGTGGAAAGAGCTTCAATTAAAGCATTCAAGACATGATTTAGATAGGAACAACGTTCAAGGGGAAAAAGCAGAAAAAACAATGGATTGGCAGTAGGTAATGAGGCACATTTGAAGAGCCAGTGACTACATATTGGGCCAAAGTGCCTCCTTCTGCACTGCAAGGCTCCTGTGAGTCCGTGACTAATCACAAGTGGAATTATAAATAATTCTCTTATTTGTAGAGTTACCGGAATATTGATCATCCAATGCACGTAAAGTATTGCTACTTGAATGGGTCTTTGGAAAAGCGAAGAATACTAACTACAACAACAGCTTGAGTTTCCACAGCAGTTTTAATATAGCCAAAAATTCCAAGCTGCTGCACAGAAACATTATCAAATAAAAAATCTGACAACAAGCCCACATGACAGCAGAGGATCAGAGAAGTGGGTTTTAAGCTGTGACCGATGGACAAGATGAAGAAAGAGATGGAAGGTGGGGTAATCAGGACAGACTGATTGATGAAGGATGCAGACAGAACAAATTAAGCAGAGTGTCTGAGTGTATTGAGCAGCAGCATAAGTCGAGTTTACAGTGAACCCTTGGGAGCAGGTCTGCAGCATCCTTGTAGAGAGCGGCCACTCCCAGGGCGGTCAGTCGTGGGAATGGGATGGAGCTGGAATTTCCCATGGAAGACAGACTTGCATGTACGTGGGTTCTGAGGAAGGGTCACCGGACCCGAAACGTTAACTCTGTTTTCTCCTTCAGAGATACTGCCAGACCTGCTGAGCTTTTCCAGCAACTTTGTTTTGTTGCATGTACGTGGGGCCTTTCATGATCACAGGACACCCCAAAGCACAATGCAGTCAATGAATTACATTTGAATGCGAACTCTGCAAGATTCCACAGACCACATTGCGATGATGCCCAAATAATTTCTTGCTATTTGAATTAAGAGATAGATATTGGGCAGAATACCAGGAAAAAATCTCCTGTTCCTGTCCGAGGCCAGAAGTCACACGACACCAGGTTATAGTCCAACAGGTTTATGTGAAATCATGAGCTTTTGGAGCGCTGATCCTTCATCAAGTGAAGTTCAAATAAACTGTTGGACTGTAACTTAGTGCTGGGTGACTTATCATAGAATCATAGAATCCCTATAGTGTGGAAACAGGCCCTTCAGCCCAACAAGTCCACACCGACCCTCAGGACATCCCACCCAGACCCATCCCCCCACTTCTGATCTTGTCCACCCCACAGTCCAACACTGGCACCTCCACAACATGACGTCCTTGAAACAGTGTCATGGGACTCTGTACCATGCTCACCACCACACCCCCTCACACCCTGTCCCCGTCAGGGATGACAGGGCCTTGTTTTAAATGCTCGAGAGAATATTTGGCACCTTGGACAACACAGCACTCCATTCAGCCCCTGGATCTTCCTTCGGTCTCTGGAGTGAACGCTCCAACTCAGATGAGCGCACTACCCAGTGACCCGTGGCCACAAGGATCCAAATAGCATAATGAACCTTCTCAATAATGCAGAGAGAATGATTCTTCTTGTGCGGCAGAGCATAACGAGAAGCCATCGATATGCAACAAGCACCAAGAACTACAAAAGGGAATTAAGTAAAAAGGTTGTCACTCAGGGTGGTGAGAATATGGAACCACCAAAGTAAGTGATTGATAGGAATAGCGTAGATCGATTTATGGGGAAGCTAGACAAAGCAAATGAGGGAGAAGGGAACATAAGTGTTATGATTTTTATATTGCAGCTGAGACTAGACAAGTCAGATCCCAGTGTTTTGATAGACTACAAGTATTTTTATTTTTTGCTATTTTGTTTAGCCTAGTGGTCAGCACATATTGTTCTGAGCAAACATATGATCATTTTCACAAGAGGTTACCAATTTGTTGTTGACAATTGGGAACAAAGGGGAGAAAGAAACTAATCGTGTTGCACTATACATAAACTTATTTGAAATGGCCTAACTGCAAATGTACACATTGACCGTTAGCCCTTTTACTCTTAGCAACATCCTTCCAAATATCCAAACCTCAGTGAAGTATCATGCTTCAAACAGTGGCACAGTTGGCACAGCTGTAAATGCTCTCTGGAGCTCTCTTTCTCACTAAACACTTTCAGGGTGAACGATTAGTGGTACCCATACCCTCAGCATCAATTCAAGATGGACAATGGAAACATCAGGTCATTAGGGCAACTGAAAAAAATAACATGCTCCAACTAATATAAGTAGCGCATTCAAAAATCTGCTGCGTTCCCAATATATAGAATAGACAAACATGTTGGAGAATCAGATAATCACTGGGAACAGATGGAGAATTTCTAAGGATCGTGAGCCGAGATTTGTATTTTTAAAAAGCAGGTAAGCAGGATTAGTAGGGAGCTATGTGGTAAATAGAAAAGCCCTGGGGAAAATTGATACACAAAGAGATCTGGGTGTTCAGGTCCATTGTACCCTGAAGGTGGCAATGCAGGTGGATAGAGTGGTCAAGAAGGCATACGGCATGCTTTCATTCATCGGACGGGTTATTGAGTACAAGAGTTGGCAGGTCATGTTACGGTTGTATAGGACTTTGGTTTGACCACATTTGGAATACTGCGTACAGTTCTGGTCGCCACATTACCAAAAGGATGTGGGTGCTTTGGAGAAGGTGCAGAGGAGGTTCACCAGGATGTTGCCTGGTATGGAGGGCGCTAGGTATGAAGAGAGGTTGAGTGGATTAGGATTATTTACATTAGAAAGACGGAGGTTGAGGGGGGACCTGATTGAGGTCTACAAAATCATCAGAGGTATAGGCAGGGTGGATAGCAAGCTTTTTCCCCAGAGTGCGGGACTCAATTACTAGGGGTCACGGTTTCAAAGTGAGAGGGGAAAAGTTTAAGGGAGATATGCGTGGAAAGTTATTTACGCAGAGGGTGGTGGGTGCCTGGAACACATTGCCAGCGGAGGTGGTAGAGGCGGGCACAATAGCATCATTTAAGATGTGTCTAGACAGATACATGAATGGGCAGGGAGCAGAGGGATACAGATCCTTGGAAAATAGGCGACAGGTTTAGATAGAGGACCTGGATTGGCGCAGGCTTGGAGGGTCGAAGGGCCTGTTCCTGTGTTATAATTTTCTTTGTTCTTTGAACTGAAAGTTGCACTCAAAAACAAACAGAATGCTGTGTTCCAGTCAGGTTGTACAGCGTTAGGTTGTTACAGCTGGTTAGTCCCCTGTACCTGCTTTAAGAACTCAGTCCAAATTCAGCTTTGATCAGCTGAATGACTTTATTTTTCACCTTGTGCTCTGCCTGCCTTCTTGGGCAAAAACAAAAGATCAAAGGGTGCCACTCAAAATTAACAGCTGTGGATTCTTCTAGGTTTTCTGACCAATGCTCAATGTTGAAACAAAGGCATTAGTTCAAATCAAAGCTGTTTCTGGGATCTTGCTGAGCGCAAATTCCTTGTGTTACCTAACAATATTGGGCACAATTGAAAGTGTGGTAATAGGCTGTGAGATGGTTTGAAAGACCTCAAGGTGTAAAAGGTGCTAAATAAATGCAACTTAATTTTTTTTTTCCCCACGGCCTTTTTCTCCAGAATAGTCAGGGCAGAAGAAAAAAAGTTCCGAGTGTTTTACTGTCTGTAAGAGAAAGCTCCTGAAACAGAAAGCCATGGAAGAGAGGTTTAAAGAATCAATGTTAAGAAAACAAAATGAGCTGTGTTAGCAATTTGTTCAAGGCTCTCAAAGATACATTAATTAAAGAAGAAGAAGTTTGTCAAGAAGAAATCAAGTATAGCCATATCACTGAACAAAGAGTTTTTAAGTGGAAAGAGAGGTGACCCTTCATTAAGGTTGAGTATCTGTAAGGTTACTGTGCAGGTAACAAAAAAAGAGATTAATCTTAATATCCGATATTTGTAATGAGTGTTTCAAATAATCTTATATATCATATAAAGAAGTTTCTGATTTTTATTTCCTTTTGTGTGTATTAAACATTGATGTTCTTTTGTCGAGAGTATATTTACAGCCTCTTGTAGATACTATGATGGTTAGTCACTGAATGTAACAAGATTGCAAAGAACAAAACTAATGTTATACAAAGCCAGATTTCACCCTGGAAACTGACTTGTCCAATTTTACCTCCAGCTGGGATAATAGCAGAATTCACTTGATCAAAACCTTTCTTATCTATAAAAATCACAACTCTGTGACCCCTCAGCCTTCTATTCATCAAGAGAGAAGTGATTCAGCCTGTCAAGCCTTTCCTGACAATGTGTACTCATGTATTTCCGGCATCAACTTGCAATCTCCTCAGGACCCTCTTCAAT